AGTGCACATTTTTAAGGCTGCACCGTTTTGCTCTATTATAACGCAGTTCTCCATAAGGAACCCACCGCTCCTAGAATTTTTCGAACACTGTCTAACTAATCGATTATTCCTCCCCAGGAGAAAATCATGTAAAAAATAGTACATCTAGCTCCTGTACAACATGAACATTGTTTTAAGAAAGCTAGAGCTTCCACTCATGCCCCAACACAGCCACGTTAAACCACCTGATAGTGGTCAGGTTCCCGAACGGACTTCTTGATTCTTCAGAATCGATTGGGTCACTAGTCACTAAACAAATTCTTTTATTGAGTCGAATAATCTACGGCACAACGTTAATCTCCCAATCCCAATCGAACTCAGCGGAACGCTTACTTACTAGGAGGCACTCGGTAATAAATGGAAACGAATACAGTGGCACTTTCATCCGAGTTACTAGTTTTTACTGTGTTTTTAGTGAAAAGTATAAATGTTGTTACTTATTTATTGTTGGCTGCATCACCATTGCAAGTGTCTAAGTGAGTTAAGCTACTACTTGTTTTGAATGATGAGAAGATCTTTGCTGCTTGGCCTTCTCATAAATCGCATCACTTCTATTAATCCCAGATGCGGGTGTTCTAATGCTACAACTGCAGATCAGGCGATTTATAGAGGGTTTTTTGCTGAATGCGATGCAATGGAGGACTCCGACTGGTGCTCCTCCTCCGCAGGCCGACTCCTGGGTGGGGTCGGAATCATTATTTCCGAATGTCTAATCATCTTCCCTTTCCCCACACCCTGAGAGAAATATTGCACCCAAAGCGTTCCCCATGCTAAATGCAGCCTATCAGTGGGTTCTTTGACCTGTTCATTTTTTCAGCTCGAATGCTTGCGTGACTGCTTTCCTCTCGACAACTACTTTTACTCAACCGTGTACTTATATGAATTTTCTCATTTCTTCACAGTCCGTCTTCCTTTTGAAACCTCAATTCAGCAGGGACTGCACTTCCATTCGAACATGAAGCTACTAGCATTAAGCAGGCTCTCTACATCCTCGAAGCACTTGAGAGTGAAGTCAGGCAAATTACATAGTTCGCTAAACACCAAGAGATAGGGAACCCCACTGCAACATCCCCTCTGGTTAAATGATACTCCTCTCTTAGGTATCTCGCAGTAAACCCTTTGTAAGTTCTGAACCTGTGAGCTCAAGTCCGTCCTCCACCAAAAAGGCCTTCTTGAGTCAGCTTATCCCCTGCATATTCTTCGGTTTTTTCTAGCGATTGGAGGAAACTGTCAGATAAAGGTACTTTCAAATACTATTGTGGCCGTACTGGAATCCTGTTCTCTCCTGTTTACGACCTAAACCTTTTGAAGATAGTGGAAGTGTTTTCAGAGATATCGCAGAAGAAAGCTAAAATTCTCCCTTCTGGAATTCCAATAAACATTCATAGCTCGTTCATTTTAGCCCTCGATCAGCAGAGCGAAAATTACAACATCTTCCAAAAGCTTCCCTACTGTAACGCTTCCTAATTGCTTTCGACCATAAGCCTCCTTTTTCTCCACATATAAAGATTCCCTTCCGAATCCTCACCTAAATAAGGCCTCAATTCGGTTCCCAGCGGCCAGATGGAGTAGGCGTCGACAGTTTGGGACGAGTTCAACGCCATGTTTTCTCTGAAGGTTTTGTCAATTTTCCCGGAGGTTTTCATGCTCACGGAAGGCGAAACAGTAAAGAAAACAAAATATCGACTAGAAATTGAAGATTCTCGCTTGCTAACTATAACCCTGGGTGGTCGGTTTCAGAACGAAAAGGGCCCTACACTGCCATGCTACGATTTCCATTAGAAAATTACTTTTTGGCAGATTAAATAAGTGGGGTTGCAAGCTTTCCTGGAAAGTACGAAAAGATGTTCGAATTTCCGGCGTCACTTCGACTTCTTCAGTGTCATAGCCTTTTTCACAGTTCTGAAATTTGTTGTGACGGCATATACATATTTCACCTGTAATCTCCTGATTATCCAGCCCAATACACCCCCTTCCCAGGCGTTTTTTGCTTTTTAGTATGTCTGCCAACTTTTCTTTTATCAGCCTTCCCATGCGGCCCAGACGTGCTTATCCGGCTCAGATGCCAGAGGAATCCGTTCCTGCCCCTTCTTCTCTTTCCAGTCTCCTCACTCGCTTGGTCAAGCCACCAACGTGACGGCTGTACTCCTAAAATCTGCTGGAAAGCCTTTCCTCATTTCCTATGGAGAAAACCTGCACGATTTGCCCGAAGCTGTTTGAATGAGGTGTTTCTTTTCGTCTTTTTACCCCTTTTGACAAACATTATTCAAGCTTTCTCCACTGTTTCCGGGTTTTGTGTGGTCCATTGAAATGATGTGTTTACTAGTTTCCTTCAAAGATGCTCCGTTTAATAAGATTCTCAAAAACCTCTTCACTAGACATCATGTATGCTTACAAAGCCGAGTGTACATGTTCAGAAACCTGGAAGCGATCGAAAATCATGTGGGAGTAGTTGTTGTGGATGATACAGCTGTCGACTTGAGTTTGTGACTACTGATGTATTCCCCCGCACATCCGTGATCATCATGGAAAGATACCAAGATTGGTCGTAGTCCTTCATGACTTCAAAAAACACGATCGTTCTTTGTTTGTGCAGTAAACAATGCCAATTAATGAAGGGAATTAATTGCATTCCTTCGGAGTTCCATTCCGTTGCTTCACTTTTTACCCATTTTTTCAGCAGCAAACAACAAAGACCTGTGGTTCTCAGGGGAAGTTTTCCCAACCTTCCTTCACTGGGCCAGACCTTTTTAGGTTTTAGGACAGTTCAAAACGTATCCAACAGAATGTTGCAATTACAAACGGTGGGACACACTTCCTCTCCTTCCGTGTTCTTTTGAGACTTTCCTTCCCACGGTGCTATGAAGAGGCCACACTTCTCTTACTCTCAAAAATCAACCTAATGGGCTTCACCTCAAAAAAGTGAGCGGAGGTGGGAAACAGGAAGTGGCGTCCCACCACGGGTATGGTAGGAAATCGAAAAATCGAATCCTAGGCCTAGACATGGCTATATCAACACAGCATTCTATCCTCCGGGGTTGATTACTTAGTATCAGAATCGACCGAGAAGGATGGAAAAACTAATTTTCAATGGGATTGGTATTGGGAATGGGGAAAAGCACAATGGGATTGCTCAACGCTGGAAAACTAGATCTCTTTTCAACTTTAAAATTTCATTGCACCGATCACTTCTTTTCGATCTACAAAGGGCTACATCTTCTTCATTCTAGAGGAGATGAGGTATCGACAAAAAAGGCCCATCAGAAAGGTTCTAAAAATCGGCTTTTCATTATTTTATTCTCTCCTTCTACTATCTGAATCATTGCAGAGGTAGTCGTGAGTGAATGATTCACAATTTCGAGAAAGTCATTTTCCTTTTTTTCAGATTTAAATCATAAAACGTCAAAAGTAAGGCTCCTCGTCTTCAGGTCTGAAAAATAAGCTTGAAGGATCAAGACCAGATCTATTGATCGAAGAAATGTTAGACAGGGGCCTTCCCGACTACAGAAATCGAAAATGCCCGGGAGCTCAATAATTTCATCATATAAGTCTACTTTGATCTCAATGGTTGAATTTTTTAGTTTAGGTTGTGCTGTCATCCGCAACTCCATCCCATTGAGTCGAGAGGAATCAAGACTTCCTTTCACATCTAGGAACTATTGCCTCTAACGAAGAGATCGGGTGACCAGGAAGGTTTCGCGGTGTTCCATGGAGAACTGATCTCATCAAGAGAGCAGAATCTACAATCACATAAATTAGGCTACATTTCGCCATTTTTGTCGGGTAACTGGATTGGTTGGGGGGTAAAGTAAATTCATCAACTTAGGCATTACTCCAGTAACCAGTCGGCAGCCTAGGCAGCCTAGCTGACAGAGTGGAGCTGTCAAGTTCTTGCACTTGAAGTGGTGCTTCATGTGGGCGAGCGAGGTGGACATGCCCACATTTTGCGTGATACACGAAAACCCTCGCTATTTCTAACTCATGTGTACCAATCAAGCCAATCTTTACCCTACTAGTAACATTTACTTCGATTTGATAGTTTTGTAAAAAGCCCTCTATCCTTTAGTAGCTCACATGAAGATGCCCTGATTTTGTTGTCATTACGAAATTCGTACTAGATACACTAAACCATTTTCCTTCAACATTGCATTTGTTTTTGCTGTTCATTTCCTTATCTAATGTTTTTCTTTGCTATGTGTTTATTTATTAATACTTTTTCTCAAGTTCATGGCGCACTCACAAGGATGTGACAACTCTGATCACCTATGAATTGTTTGTGTCGTTATGATTTCGCTTTTCAAGTCAGGATGTTTCATTTTTCAGAAGCTCTAGTTTTCTAGTTTTCTTAAGAGAACGTAAGAGCCTTTGAGTGAAAAAGATTTGCTTCTCACTTTCAGTATTTCAAAAACTTTTTTTATTAACCGTTGTTAGACTACTTTTATGCGCTGCTTCCTTCTTTCCTCAAAACTCGTGCCTATACTCTCTGTATTTACTCAGAAAAAAAGGCAGCATAGGGCGAGAGAATCAGCTCTAATAGTCGGAAATAATGTAAAGTACTCATTTTCTGTTAGAATCGCCTGAAGTTCATTAAGAAAGTTTACTTCAATGAAGTGTTCTCTGAACACTAACGCCAGTTCGTCTTTGGATTGCCACTTTACTATCAAAGATTCATTACATTCATTACATTATCATACAAGATTCATTACAGGTGTAAGTATACAAAAGCATCGCATAATACTTGTAAGCGAGGAGGGCTCTTCGTCAACCATTTGTTTCCTGCCATCCATTATCAAATTCCTTTTCACATCCCTTCCCGTGCTCCGATGCCCATGCTGGGCACCCCGAAGCAGATTGTGTTCAATTTTGTACGCCCACGTGATGTATCGCGACCCTATCGGATTTGCTCGTCTTACTGTATCCATCTATGAACTATTTTACCAAAAAATCTTACTTACAGATCTATGCATCCGCAAATCTTCTTTATTATCGTTCATCAGTCAGTGGTGATGACTTTGGCTATACTCGGTAATTTATTCCTGATTTTCGTCATATTCCGTGGTAATCATGCAGTGAGGAGGCGTATATCACCTGTACAGGTAAGAGTTCAGTGATCATTTGGGTAACATAAGCGATTCCATAGTAATAGCATAGCATTCGATGACTAATGAACCGTTAATGGATAATTTCCGGCTTCGTTAGCCTTGAGTAGGTTGACCAGGTGTGATTACACGGTAGCTTCGGCCATGAATCAGCACCTCAGTTAGGCTTTCTAAACAAAGCGAAAATGTAATAGCAGGTAGTATAACGGGATAACGTGATATAATTGTTTGTAAATTTTACTAACTTTTTTCTACGTTCTCGCTTTAACCCATGGAAATCCCATGAAGTTTTTCGATCCAAGTAACGAATTTGAGTTTGGCAGACTGATACGAGTAACAGAATTGCTTACAAAAAACTACTTTACAATTTTCTATTCCAGCTTCTACTATTGCACACTTGCGCTGCCGATTTGCTCTTCGCCCTGGTCACATTAGGCACCGAGATACTGACACTGGTAAGTGAAGTGCTAACTCGAAACTGCAGCAAATACCGAATTTTTCATTTGTGGAATCTCCTCTGACTTACAAAAAAAAANAAAAAAAAATTGTTTTGCTCACGCACTCTGCTTCTATAAATTTGAAGGCTTTTCTTTCGGGCCACGTTTTAAAAGGCTCCCTAACTTCTCAGTGTGAAGTGTGGGGTAATGCAGAGTGGTGCCAGCGATGGAGGATTCCCCACTGGTGAGATATTCGCCAAAGTCACTCACTCGTGGGGAAGTGGTGCGTGGAAGCTTGCAACTGCAAATTTTACTAAACCTCTGAATTGTGCCCGCAAGGGGCTCATGATGGCCCCTTACCGGAAGCTCTGTTATCCATCGCTATCATCCGAAAACATTGAACCGATGGCAGGATCGAATCCGGGCCGATACTCACCCAGGCCATTTGAACCTTTCATCCTTCCGGTGTCTACCAAATGGTACCACACCTGTCTGAGAGAAGAAAAGCATTGATTCTACATCACCTGACTACCCCAAGTCATTGTATAGGGCGCACATGCATTCACCCGGGATTTTGATTCTCAACGGAGGTCGAGTGGGAGAGCACATCCCTAAAATGGGATTGATTGACGTCAAAAACTATCTCCTCTGTCCGTGCGCGAAAATGTAATTTCAAATAACGGATTTAATTAAGCTGTCATTCTGCATAATTGCGTGCCATAGGTCATCCGATCGTTTTTTGCGCTTCGTGAGCCACTGAAGCTGTAAGAATCATCGAGAATTCAGGAGATTTGACACGTGACTACTCAAGTGATGAATTCTAAACACATGAATAATCAAAGACCACTCAAATATTCGAGTGTTCTAGATAGTGGTTGTAAAATCTCGTGTTAAGCGTGACTCATGGTGAAATTTCATCTCCAAGTAGCATTAAAAAAGTTCTGGAGTTGGTAGATGAAAATACTCAAAAAGAAACAATTCCGATTTTCCATCACTACTCATTCCAGCTTTCCTATCCACACTTTGGCGGCTCGGATTGGTTATGCAAAGCAATGCGATATGGTCAAGTGCTACCTCTCTACGCGAGTCCTTTCCTCCTGGTGGCCATCAGCGCCGATCGCTATCAGGTACAGAGCTATTGAATTTGTGGCCCAAGTTGCTCGAAAAAATTAAGTTCTAGCGCAAGTACGTAAGGGTAAACGATTTGAGTATGACAGTAAACCTACGCGCTCTTCCCCATCGTGGTCACTTACTACTTTTGCCGTTTGCGAGCATGTTATGATAAAAATAGCCCAAATAAAATTAATATACGCGTGTCTCGTTTATACTTGCCTCGGATGGCACGTGATGCTGTGGCGCGAAGCAATTGATCAATAACATGTCTTGTGCGGATCTACTGGGTTACGTTTTATTGCGGCAGTGGGCCTCTAAGTGAATGCCATTCAAGGGGCTAGAATTTCATGACTTCGGTCAGAACTCGGAAATTTGTCCGGGGAAATTAACTTCACCAAACGTCAACGTTTTGACGAAGGGAGGGGGGGGGGGNCCCTACTGCCCGAACGCTCAACCCTAATTCTGTCTTCTGACTCTCCACTTAGTCGCACACGCAGCAGTAAGTGAAATTATGAGAAAAACGCCCGCCGAGACACAATGTAGTTGGAATTTTTCTTGGCGTCATCGACAATTTTCAGGCCATTTGCCGTCCGCTGGCAAATATTCGCTCGTCAAGATTCCGACGACCGAACTGTTTCGCCGCAGTCGCCTGGATACTGGCTCTACTCTTCTCAATACCGCAGCTATTCATCTGGAGAAAAAAGTATCCAAATAATTTGCTTGCTTTTGAATTATTCTTCAGGGGATCTCTTCTCAATCATCACTTTCAGGCAAAATGGTGAATGTGCAACTTTCTATGGCAACAAATCACACTTCCTGAAAAACCTCTACGTGATCGGTTTCAATACAATCGGTTAGTCTATACTACATAAATCCTTTTCCCCTTGAAACGCTTCGTGGCCCAGGACGTTAGCCCGCGTACGAGTTGAGTATCAAATCCCGGTACGAAATCAGCCCAAGTCACAGAAGGTTTCCAACCTGTTGGTCTTGAATTGAGGCCAACCCAATTAGAAGGATGAAAACACTAAGTCCATAATTAAAACGTCACTCCGACCTCATATGAGAAATAAATGATGCTCAGGCCCATCCCCATAGTCGGATCGATCTCTGTTAAAAATTTTATTTTATTAATCTCCAATGTCACTTTTGTTGTAACTCATCATGACAACTCACAATAGTAATGGATGCCTTACGAGGTTTCTCGGAGGAACTTTTTATTGGCTTACTACTACTCTTTTTTTTTCATCCATTGTTTTTTGTCAGGTTGTTCCAATTAATAAAAGGGTCTGACCGAAAATAGCGCAACTTTCAAATATCACCGTTATAAGTTATCCTTTTATTTCCAAAAACTTAGAACCCTTTCTCGTGAAAAGCGAAAATTAAAGCGTGGTGTGTCCAGAAAAATGCTTAAGTTCGGGGCGCTAAGGTGCCAAGCCCAGCAACCTACGATCATTCTAGTCCTTATGTGATCGCTCAGCTCATCGCTGATATACGTCCTGGTTTATTTACTGCATAAGATAACTAATACCCTTAATGAGTCTAAAATTAGCTCCAAATCTATTCCAATTCCGATTTCAGCATGGCTTCTTCCTTCTATATTCGCAGCATTTTTCTATTATTGTGTCTGCAAAGCTGTGTGGATGTCACGATCAAAAGCAGCGACACATCAGCAAGCGAACAAAATGGAAGTGAAGAAAAGGTAAGACTCTTGAACTAATCACAGAACCTAATCATATTGACTTCTTGAGTGTCTGAAGGGAAGAATACACTTACACTGAGTACGGCAAGCCCTAATGAAATAAGCACATTTTCGTGAGGCTCGGAAAATATCAACAAGATTTGCATTTTCGAAAAACGGTTTTGTAATGACAGTGGCTGTGAGCTTACATTCCCCGCTAATATATTGGGTATTGCGTTTTTGTGGAAGAAGCTGTAGCCTCCTTCCCAGCCCCCCTCCCCTTCCCCCCCC